AATCTTTTTCCATATTGCCATTATGGGGGATTGTGTGTAGAATATTGAGGAAATCAATCAATTTAATCCATTTTGGAATAAAACTGTAACATAAACAAATGTGGAATAAGTGAAGCGCCATCAATACTTTCCGGATGCACTGCATATATTCTAATCTAAATCTTGAGTCTGATGTTTGTAGTTGTATACACACAAACACACACACACAGAGATATCACATGGGAACATATTTAATCGGGCATCAGAGGAGACTTTCATGTGTTTTCCTCTGAGCTGTGGTCAGAAACTCTCAGACTGTCCCTGCAGACGTGAATGAAAGGTCAGGGTTGAATTAAAGGGGGAAATGTGAGAGTGAGTTTGGGCTCGGATATAAAGGGCATCTATGATGGTCTCACGTACATGCGCTCACGCCTGCCTCTCTTTTGCCTGTTTCTGCCTCTCTACCCTTTAACACCAGGCTAAAATTAGTTTCACTATCAAGGGAGCCGACAGACACTTGTGTTGTTCAGGAGCCGCTGGTCATCCGCAGGCTTGACCTATAGAGTCACTACAGAGTTCACTAGTGCTCCCTTTATCAGCAGTTCTGCATTCAGGAGGATTTCTGGATACGTTTTGGTATGTGAAAAAACACTGTGGTAATTTAATTAGCCATGCTTTAGTGAAGTACTTGCATTAATCTGTTGTGCTGATTATAGTTGCTTTGGTAACACAACAACATGTATTGTAATATAAATATAGTAATATAAATGACACAATATTCTACATGTTTACAATGATAGGGTACATACAGTTTAGTAAAAATGTAAATACTATAGTATTTATGACAGTTTATCAGTTCACTATAGTTAATCAGCTACTACAGTATTTTCATTAACAAAGGGTTAATGAATAGTGAAAAATAAAAACACTGAAAAATTAAAAAATATATACTATTAATTAATTTATAGTAAACACTATACTATATACATTAAATTAATAGTACACTCGCCGGCCATTTTATTAGGTACACCTCCTTTGGATTCCCTTTTGCCTTCAGAACTGCATTAATCCTTGGTGGCGTAGATTCAACAAGTTACTGAAAATATTTCTCAGAGATTTTGCTCCATATTGACATGATAGCATCACACAGTTGCTGCAGATTTGTCGGCTGCACATCCATGATGCCAATCTCCCGTTCCACCACATCCCAAAGCTGCTCTATTGGATTGAGCTCTGGTGACTGTGGAGGTCATTTAAGTACAGTGAACTCATCGTCATGTTCAAGAAACCAGTCTGAGATGATTGAGCTTTATGACATACTGCGTTATCCTGCTGGAAGTAGCCATCAGAAGATGGAGACACTGTGCTCATAAAGGGATGGACATGGTCAGCAGCAATACTCAGGTAGGCTGTGGCGTTGATGCTCAATTGGTACTAATGGACCCAAAGAAAATCTCCCCCACACCATTACACCACCACCACCAGCCTGAACCGCTGATACAAGGCAGGATGATCCATGCTTTCATGTTGTTGAGGCCAAATTCTGACCCGATCATCCGAATGTGTCAGCAGAAATGGAGACTCATCAGAGCAGGCAACGTTTCTCCAATCTTCTATTGTCCAGTTTTGGTGAGTCTGTGTGAATTGTAGCCTCAGTTTCCTGTTCTTAGCTGACAGGAGCGGCACCCGGTGTGCTCTTCTGCTGCTGTAGCCCATCCGCCTCAAGGTTGGACGTGTTGTGTGTTCGGTTGACAGAGCTCAGTTTACAGAGCTCGGTTGTAGCGAGTGCTTATTTGAGTTACTGTTGCCTTTCTATCAGCTGGAACCAGTCTGGCCATTCTCCTCTGACCTCATCAACAAGGCATTTGCGCCCACAGAACTGCCGCTCACTGGATATTTCCTCTTTGTCAGACCATTCTTTGTAAACATAAGAGATGGTTGTGAAATACTCAGAGCAGCCCGTCTGACAGCAACAACCATGCCACCTTCAGAGTCACTTAAATCCCCTTTCTTCCCCATTCTGATGCTCGCTTTGAACTGCAGCAGATCGTCTTGACCATGTCTACATGCCGAAATGCGTTGAGTTGCTGCCATGAGATTGGCTGATTAGAAATCGGCATCAACGAGCAGTTAGGCATGTGTACCTAATAAAGTGGCCGGTTAGTGTATATATAATATATATATATATATTTTTTTTTTTTTCCCAGCCTTAAGCCATGAACCAAACAAATTAAAACAAACCGAGATATATTACTGCTAATTTGAAGTTGTTTTTTGAATCCGTCAACTTTTTTCTTTGAGCAAAAGACAGACAGACAGGTAGATAGATAGATAGATAGATAGATAGATAGATAGATAGATAGATAGATAGATAGATAGATAGATAGATAGATAGATGATAGATAGATAGATAGATAGATAGATAGATAGATAGATAGATAGATAGATAGATAGATAGATAGATAGATAGATAGTTTGGTGCAGCTCTGTAATTGATGAAACTTTCTGCAAAGCATCATGGGTATTGTAGTCTTCAAGGGGACATTTTAAAGACATTTTAAAGTTGAAATAAGCCTAATTGGATATACATTTCAACAAACGCATAAATTACGACTATTAGCAAGCTAGTAGTTTATTTTTCTGCCTTGAAAAGTTATTTTAAAACATTTCTTAATGTAATGTAGTCGTGTAGGCTATAGCTATGCAGCTGCTTATGAATCGAATTGACAGAAAATATCCACTTTGAACAGTGGAAGCTCGTAAATGTTTAACTCTCAGCTATGATTCAGGATGTTTAAATGCAGATACTCAACGCGGTGGATGCAAAACAGTCACAGCAAGAGGTTGTGGATATTATTTGAATAAAATAATCAAATCTCTCGGCGAACAAGAGCAACTAAAACCGAAAATCAAACTGCAACTGATGAGCTGCTGTCGTTACTGTCACGACCAGACGGAGGCGCAGTTGTGCGCGCGTGTGTGTGTGTGTGTGTGTGCGTGCGCGCGTGCGTGCGTGACATCGCCGCATGTCTGTCACATGTAAAACTTCCTGTTTCCACTGTTTCTTCACACTCACTGAAGTGTGCTTATGTGTCTCGTGTTCCTTATTATAAAACAGAACATCTCTCTAGTCTGTATTTTACCTAAAAGGGTCATATAACGTTAGCCATTTTGGAAATTGAATTTTCGAGACTCTTCACGACCTCCGTCTGTTTGAATACGTCTTAATCACACGCAAAAATACCACAGTAATTTCTATTAAATACTTCAGTTGAGTTGAACCAAACTATAGTAAAATACTTTAGTATACTGTGCTAATTGTACATTTGATGTGGTAACACAGTAAAATATACACATACACAATACTGTAGTTTTCTAAAACTATAGGATGTACTACAATACACCACTAAATATAGTAAAATCTAAAGTATACTACATAAATTATTAGTCTGTCGGAGTACCACAGTATTACACTAACACTGTAGTATTCACTAGAACTTTAGTTTCGTTTTCACGTGGGGTCTTTCATCTGTCAAGTAAAACATTTCCTGTAAAAGCACAGTTGAGAAGTAAACATAGTTGTGTCATCACTTTCACAGGTTATTTTCTGACAGAATTTTTCAGCAGAATGTTCAAGGAAGGTTTTACAGGACGAACAGAAAGACCGCCTGTGATTGGCTGATTAGTTTATACACTTGACATCACCGAATGAATATTAAAATGAGTGCTTGAATTGAGAATATTTATCTGTTAGTGTGCTGAAAGTCCATGTGAAATCAAAATTTACATTTATTTTACGAATGCACATTGTTATTATTTAGATAATTAATTCACTGAAAAAAACGTTTTTTGGCTTTTAATATTTGCTGATATGTTTGGATTGGCTCGTTCTCTGATGATTTCAGTTTGACACTTCGGCCACAATATTCTTAGCCACGCCCTCTTAGTTTGTTTGCTACGAAGCAGTGATGCACAAAAAAAGAAAGCCACGCCCCCTACTCAATATTCAATTTTAGTTTGTTTGAGGTATATCAACACGTTGCATTCGAAATTAACTTCCCTACGATATAAAGTACATGACAAACGTTATGCGAGTTGAGTTGTACATCTGAATCATAGTAGCTGAGAACCTGAATGACCTACTATTTTCAGCAATATTCTGAAGTTCACATGCAATACACGCTACTATGCTATCCCTAATACAACGTGAGATTTATGAATGGGAGTGATGCTATCCAACTGATGCGGGTGATGTGATAATGACAATTGGCGGATGCAATTCCACTCATTCACACAATATAGTGTACGTTTTTAACAATCGTGTAGTGAAATCAAATGTAGTACTTACCTTGATAGTACGCAGATATTATAAAATAAGCAACTTTACGTTCATGCGGATTTTAAAGTTGGGGGCGGGGTTTATTTGATTTATTTCCACCTCTCATTTTCCACTTACAAAAAAACGAACAATCAAATGGGCGTGGCTTAGCATATTAAAAAAATATTAATTGAAAATAAGTTTAATCAAAAAATAGTTAAATATTTAAAAAGTGGGAACTGGCTGAAATAATATTAAGTTGACGCACTAAAATTATTAACTAAACAAAACAATTAAAACAAACTAAAATCCCAAAATGATACTATTTTTTAATCAAAACAACTGAAGCGGACAAAAAAATACTAATTAGACGAAAATAAATTATAAAAAATTACTACATAATGTAAGTTATCGTTAAAACTATTACACATAATTTTGTTATTCAAATAAAACTGAAATAAATTATCCAAACGGCAAATATAACTGTTATAGCTAATAGCAAAACTAATACACTAAAATACTAATAAGTAAAAATACTTGCAATACGAGAAAAAAATTGAAAAACCCCAAAAAAAACTAATTGAACTTGATTGTGCGGACAAGCTGCGATCCAGTTGTATATTAAATGTTTGATGTTTATCGTATGCTGATGTTTACCGTGTGAAATACGTTACGTAATCCCGCATGAACTCACGCACAGGAGCTTCTCCATAGAAATTAATCTCTTTATTTGGCATCTAGCAGTCACAACTCTTGGCTTTGTTCAGTAGGATTTCACATAGACAATTAAACAAACAAATGCTAAAACCTTTTGACTTGAGGCTCCACCTGTCCAAAATACTATAGTACCGTAAAATCAATCAATTTAATTCATTACAAAAACCAAGAAATGAGTTTGATATTAACTAGAGTTTGTGTTCCACTGTTAGGATCTCAGACTCCTGGAATGTTGAAACAAAGGTAATGAAGGTGGAGCTTCTCAAGCTCATGTTTGTTTTCTGCATCTCAGATCGATCGGTTGTTCTGGTGTGGAGAACGGGATGCTGGAAACGGCTGGACCAACAGTGCAGTGGGCGGAGTCAGCGGATGGGTGGGGGGGCCTGTTCACATGTTCATCTTCCTGAGGTAAAGAGCCATGTCGAAAACGGGTGGGTTGACTTTGCCTCCGTGAGCATCTTTTACTCCTTTAGCAATGATTAATGCTGAAAGAAAGAGGGGAGAAAACAGAAATGATCAGATTTACAGATCATTACAGATATATATAGCAGTTATATATATATTAACACACTCATAATAACATGACTTGAATAACAAAGACTGAGATTCTTCTTCTGTTTTATTTCATAGTTTTATAACTGATGTGAGCATATTAATCACATGAGATTGTTGTACATTTGACTCAAATTATATAATAATTGCGTTGACAAACCAGGAAAAAAATGTATTCGCTTTCGCTACTTTGTTAGCAAGGTGGAAGTGGAAATCAGCAGCTTCACCTAAAGCTGTGGGTGTGTGATCTGATTTTATATTTGAAATTAGAGAAAATTAAGTATTTAATAAGGGGTCTGTCCAAAAATGCTATGAGACATTATTTTTTTTGTAAAATATTTTTATTCTTTAGTGACACACATACACATTTTAAATATATATATATATATATATATATATATATATATATATATATATATATATATATATATATGAATTAACAAGTCAAGTAATATAGGTCAAATTACTACCCAGAAACATAATATATATATATATATATATATATATATATATATATATATATATATATATATATATATATATATATACACTAAATAATATACTAAACCTACATTTAAATAATAATTTATATATATTATAAATTTGACATTATTTACATGCGCGCATATATATATATATATATATATATATATATATATATATATATATATATATATATATATATATATGAATTAACAAGTGAAGTAATATAGGTCAAAATACTCCCAAGAAACAATATATATATATATATATATATATATATATATATATATATATATATATATATATATATATATATATATATATATATATATATATAAATAAATATATATAGAAATTATAAACTAAACTTACATTTAAATAATAATTTACATATATTATATATTTGACATTATTTACATGTATATATACTTTCTTTTTACATATAATATACATATATTTAACATATTGTTTGTACAATATAAATAAATAAATAAATAAATAAATAAGTAAATAAATAAATAAATAAAGTCAGATTTCACCTCAGCGTTTATATTTTTATTAAAATATATAACTCGGTCGATTATCCTACCAAATCAAATGATGTGGAAAATATAGACTGAATTGAAATTACAGCTGCGTCCCAAATGGCAAACTACACACTAATGCACTTACACACTCAACAGTATAATGTATGAATGTCGTGTCGTTCCAAACGGAACACTCATGTTTATTTTACTAAGCGGAAATTTAAACCGTTTCCCTCATTATGTTTGAGGAATTAGTGAAATAAATGACCAAAGTGCCAAATAATACCTGGCATGAGTATAACCGCATTCACCATCGGGAGGCGCTTTAATCACTGTCGTAGGAGAATTTTGCTTTCACCATCCAAAATAAATAGTTATGCAACATGTCCGAAAGCTCCGCCCCTTCCGCTACGTGAGCAAAGCTGTGGTCATTGAGTGTGCATCAATACACACTTAATGTTAGCGGCTGAATGAGTGCATCATCCGGGTAATTAAAGCGCACTTATTATTATTAGAGTTTTCAGTGTGAACACACTACTTACACTGTTTATACTAGAAAATGCCGTAAAATAGTGCATAAGTATGCGATTTGGGACGCACCGATGTGTAAAGAAAATGTGTCTTGTATGAGATGAACTTTACTAATTAATTATTAATAATTAAAAAGGAAATTAGGTTATATAAATAGAACATGAACACTCTTATATAAATGACTTTTATAAACTGAAGAGAATGTCTGCGTGTCGTGTAGAGTTTATACGACTATAGTAGGAAAGCCAGTGTTAATATGTGCGCAGTACCGCTTATAGATTTGCCGATGGTCAATGAGAAAGGGTCGGGCTCTTTCTCGGAGGTCTTCATCTTGACGTCCATCGTGAATTGACCGTCCACAAACAGAGCGTCTCTCACCACAGTGCAGCGCTTGCCGGCCAAAGTCACACCATTGCAAAACAGTTTCCCGCGGTCTGTGTTGAGGATTGCCTTAACCTCTGCTGCCTGAAGAGACACACACACACACACACACACACACACACACACACACACAGGCAGACTGAGCATTACAGCTGATACAAACACATGCTCAAACAAGTCCAAGCATTTTTAAAGCCCCCTAACACACACACCCTGAACGCACACAGAGACATCACAAACACACACACACACATGCCCAGAACTCACACAGAACACACACTGACATACTAAACACACACTAAAAACACATACATACACTGTGAACTCACACACACAACACACATAAACAGAACACACTGACATACTAAACACACTGAAAATACACACATACACAGTGAGCACACACACACACACACAGAACGCACACACATAACTCACTTACACACAGAGACATCACAAGCACACGCATGCCCAGAACTCGCACAGAACACACATACATGCACAGAACGCACACTCACATACTAAACACACACTAAAAACACACACATACACTGTGAACACACACACACACACACACACACACACTCATGTTTTGTCCTGTTCACAAAGGCGACGCCTATTTCGCCTCAAGCGAAGTAAAATGCAGACCGTAAATCTGATTGTAATCACTCTAAATATGCTGGGTTGTTGTGACCCATGTTGGGTCAAATATTGACACTCACAAATATGAGTTAATTTACTTAATTAAATGTAAATGACACTTTTCTTTGTTGGCTACAGCAACCCAGCATTCCAGAATATTCCTAGGAGCAGATCAAACTTTACACTTTGCCGTTTTATTTATTTACGTCAACATAATTTATTTAAAAAATATAAAGGGAAGCATGCACATTACCCACCATTCATTGCTCAGCTTTTCATTATTGCACTACTAAAGATCGCTGGGTTGTTTTAATCCAACGCTGGGTCAAACATGAACAAAACACATAAATTAAATTTTGAAACCGAACCCAAGTGTCAATATTTAACCCAGCATTGGGTTAAAACAACCCAGCATTCTCTGAGTGTTTATTTAGTGGCTACTTTAATAGTGGTTTATTAAAGTAATAGATGGATTTAGAGCAGAAAAGCACCACAGAAATCCATAAAGGAGACATTTTACTGCATAAGATAAGAGACTGACGAGAAAACAACATCACTAAATTCTTCAGAAGTCTGAGCTGCGTGTTACAACATGAACAGGTTAAACATGAACACACACACACACACACACACACACACACACACACACACAGCAGTCTGTCAGAGCCTACTCTACCTGTAATTTACTCATCATCTGAAATATCTATACCGCACCATTATGCCTAAAACTATTCAAATTCACACATTAGGCAGATTATTTCACTATCCTGATATACTTCAGTAGTTCAGTGCACTCAGAATAAATGTGTTGATTTATTTGGACATGAACATGTTTATCACCCAAATATTTCATTTTCACTAAATGTATTTGAACTTGCACATAAAAATCACTTTTGTACATTAGATTTAGACACCAGGATTGTGGAAATAGCGTTGAAATATTGATTTATTAATGTGGCTGTGTGTTAAATCACATTTCTAAGCAGCATTTCCTCTTTTATCTAGTTCCTGGCTTCCTATATACAAGCAGAACTGAGAACTTGTCGTTTTATAGTTATAAACTTAACAAATATGATCATTTGCTGATTAAAACAGTCTTCATTTGCATAAACGCATCTCATATTAAAGTGAATTCACGAAACACTGAAATCAAAATCTTGCACCGAGTACGCGCTCACCATGGGCGGAAAGGCGGAAGCGGAGCGCGCGCGCACAGAGCTTCCGCCTTTCAGAACGCACGACCAAATAAGGAGCCGTTTACAAAACTCCGCTGTGAGGAAATTCAGCGCGAATGAATAAACGGTCGACGACGAGCAGCGCAGCGCGTTATAAGTTTATCCTCAACAAGACGAATCAATATCTGCAGAAGTAAACCTGCTTATAGCTTATTAAATACTTAATATACTTTTAGCAAAGTTCTCTCACACGGAACTCGATGTCCGCTTCAGCAAGTTAACATCTGAGGCATTTCTGAAATGCGGATGAAGGAGCAGGAAGGTAACGTTAATAAATAAACAAACAAAACAAACACGAAACTGTTCCGAAAACAGAAACAATAAAGTCAGATCGCGATCAGTCAACATAAAACTAGTTATCTGCTTATCTGCCGTACCGTTACGCCCGAGAGCCAGCCTCCCGGTGCTGACGCCCAAATGGACTCCTGACCCGGTGTTGCACCGAGGATGACCGCATCATCCACCCACTCGCTCTGGGTCAGGCTGCTGATGTAGCTGTCCCAGCTCATGACTGCTGATGTCGATCTGACGAGCACACACACACACACACACACATTATTATACACACATAAACACTCCTGCACTGCGCATATTCACTTTTCTGCACTGGAATTGCAAATGTCGATTGATAAAAGCTTGGGGCATACCAAAAAAAGCAATAAGAGAGAGAAAACAGAAGTACCTGAGTGCGTCTCTGCTCCGATGCAAAGTGAGTTTAAGGAAGTCCGTCTGAGTTTATAAGCAGCGGCAGAGGCGCGCGCCCTGCCCTACGGCCTACTTCCGCACGCGCGCGACCCACTGAAGGAGATGCGCCGTCTGCAAAGTTGCATTAATGTCAGCAGAGCATCCAGAACAATCCAAAAGACTTTAACAGACATCCCAGTTACAAATCTGCGTTAAGTGCACAATGCATAATGCGTGTAAATGCAGTCGCAGTGACTGCATCCTTGAAAAGGATAAAAGGGAATCTAAAGGGATAGTTCACACACACACACAAACACACACAAAAACATATTTACTCATCCTCCACTTGCTTCATACTCGAGTTTCTTTCACACAAAGGAAGCTCAAATTGACTAGTTTTTATTTTATGGATGTCAGCTGTGTTTCCATTCACATACTCTTATGCATATTTTGGAATATTGCATTAAAAATGCTTGAAGGAAACAACAAGATGCGCAAACACTTTGAAAATGTGCATGTAAAAAACCTGAGTAGGATAAATAAAAACTGAGCATAAACTATGATGGAGGATATTTACCAAATGAATTCCAGCATGTGCATTAGTATGAACAGGTGATGTTGGACACATTCATGGACAAAGCAGCATTGCCACCAGTGTAAAGTTCAGGCTAATTGCTGCTTTTTTCTTCTCAATATATTCTTTTGTGTTCAACATTATCAAGAAATTCATAAAAGTTTAGAACCAACTGTTGCTGAGCTGCGCCTTTAAGTGTAAACCGTACAGCTTTAAGTGAAACAAACAGAAATCAGCAGCATTGCAGCTTACATGTGAGAGTTTTGAATGAGGAAACTGACTAAACTCGAAGCTCTCAAGTATTGTTCACACTTCCACATATCTAAAATGGCACATTGCTTTTCCTTAAAACATTAAAGTTCACAGCTTTATAGATCTTTTTTAGACAGTCAAAGTGGATTTGTGAGTTCTGAGTTCCTTATGTTGAACACAAAACAAGATATTCTGAAGAATGCAGACATTCAAATACACTCTCAGAAATGAGCTGTCACTGGGGTTGTACCTTTTCAAAAGGTACATATTTGCACTTAAAGGGTATATATTGGTACCTCAAAGGTATATATTAGTATCTAAAAATTTCAAGAGGTACACTTTTGTACTTTTTAGGTACTATTATGTATCTTTGAGGTATTAATAAGGACCCTTTAAGTACAAATATGTGCAGTTGAAGTCAGAATAATTAGCCCATCTGTTTAGTTTTTACCCCCAATCTTGTTTAATGGAGAGCAGATTTCTTCAACACATTTCTAATCATTTTAATAACTCATCTGTAATAACTGATTTATTTTCTCTTTATCATGATGACAGTAAATAATATTAGACTAGATATTCTTTAAGACACTTCTATACAGCTTAAAGTGACATTTAAAGGCTTCACTAGGTTAATTAGGGTAACTAGGCAGGTTAGGGTAATTAGGCAAGTTATTGTATAACAGTGGTTTGTTCTGTAGACTATTAGGAAAAAAAATACTGCTTAAGGGGGCTAATAATTATAACCTTAAAATAGTTTTTAAAAAATTTAAAACTCCTTTTATTCTAGCCGAAATAGAACAAATAAGACTTTCTCCAGAAGAAAAAATATTATAGGAAATACTGTGAAAATTTCATTTCTCTGTTAAACATCATTTGGGAAATATTTAAAGAAGAGGAAAAATTTTGAAGGGGGTGATTAATTCTGACTTCAACTGTACTTTCAAAAAGGTACCACCCCATTGACAGCTCCTTTATTTCTGAGAGTGTAAGAACTGAATATACTATGAAAGTCATTGGCTGCTTTCCCCCAAACATTCCTCTGAATATCTTCCTTTGTGTTCAACAAAAGAAAGAAACTAAAACAGGTTTTAAACAAGAGGAGGGTGAGGAAATGATGACTGAATTTACATTTGTGGTTGAACTATGCCGATCAGGATTAAACAGACCAAACCAACTGTTTAATGTCATTAAACATATGGTGTTTCATAGAAATACATTGAAAAAACATGAAGGGAAGGAGATAATACATTAAAATGGGGTGAATTTCCCCTTTGATGCTTTAAAGAGGCAGAGTTCACTCCAAAAATTAACATTTAATGATCATTTACTCACACTCGAGTGCTTCATGTTTATGAATTTCTTTCTACTGAACACTAAACAGTTTCCAATGATGGGTTGCGGCTGGAAGGGCATCCTCTGGGTAAAAACGTGCTGGAAAAGTTGGCGGTTCATTCCGCTGTGGCGACCCCGGATTAATAAAGGGACTAAGCTGAAAAGAAAATTAATAAATGAATGAATGAACACTAAACAGGGCGTTAAGGTGGCGCAGTGGGTAGCATGAAGGTCACTGGTTTGAGCCTTGGCTGGGTCAGTTAGCATTTCTGTATGGAGTTTGCATGTTCTCCACAAGTTGGTGTGGATTTCCTCCGGGTGCTCTGATTGTGAATGATTGTTTCCTAGTGCTGGGTTGCAGCTGGAAGGGCATCCGCTCCATAAAACATATGCCGGATAAGTTGGCGGTTCATTCCACTGTGGCAACCCCAGAATAATAAAGGGTCTAAGCCGAAAAGAAAATGAATGGATGAACAGAAAACAAGATAATTTGAGGAATGCATAAATAAGGAGCCATTGCCGTCAATAGTAGGAACAAAAATACTATGGAAGTCACTGGCTGTTTTTTCAGCATTCTTCAAAATGTCTTCCTTTGTGTTCAACTCAAACTCAAACAGGTTTTTTGACAAATGAAGTGTGAGTAAATGACTTTTTTTGGGTCATTCGGTTTTGGGTGAACTGTTCCTTGACAGGCTTGTCAAACGTGCTCACAATATTCAAATAGAAATATATTATCAAAATAAATAAATATACATTAATATAAATTAATATTTAAACCTTTTTTTGCTGATAAAAAGTTGACGAATTGCAGGTGTTTAATCTTACATGTGTATAAGCTAGAGACTGCGTTAAATCCGAGTTAAAGTTTGGAGTTAGTCCTGAGTTTGGCCGCAGTTTGCAGAGTGATAGAGAAAAGCGAGGCGGCAGAAAAGAGCAGAGCGCGACCACAGCATCCTGTTTGTGAATCTGCAATCTGCATGATATGACAGGAAGAATTACAGCGTGAATGAGAGCAACTGCTGCATCTACTGTATCTGAATGTGTGCTTCTCTACACGAGTCTGACCTATCAGAGCGGAACAGACCACACTGACAAGTGACCGTTGGAACAACCAATCAGATTGTGCCAAGTGAGTGAGGGAGGTGGTACCAGAGCTGTAGTATCTCACCCATTATAGACACTCACACTGTAGTGCTTGTGAACCATACTGTAGTAAAGTATTTGAATTAATCTGTTGTGGTGATTCTAGAGCTGCTACATGAACACAACAACTATAGTAATGTAAAGAAATGAGTCAATACTGTAGTTTTCTACAGCTACAGGGAGTATTATACTACAATACGTCAGTTTACTGTAGTAAAATCTAATGTATGTGACAGTATTTATTTTAGTTTATCCGTTCGCCACTGGCTTGCTTGGTTTGGGACTTGCTGCTCATCGATGGATTTGCTCTTGTGTTTGGACTTTCAGCAGTGAAAATTAAATCACCCTGAACTGAACTAAACTCTGAAAATTGAACTGACACAGTTTCAGTTAACTAGAACTTCTGTGTTCAGCTGCTTTGACACAATCTACATTGTGAAAGTGCTATAGAAATAAAAAATCAGCTCACTATAGTCAATACTACAGTATGCTGGAGCAATTATTATCAAAGCATTTTCAAGAGTTCACACTCAGCTGATGATTGATAGTAAAGCTAGTTTGGCATGCTGTCCCGGGAGAGAGCCCTGAGCTTATAAGATCCTCGAGGCCCGGGGTCCCTTCCGTTGCAGGGCGAGAGGGGAGTTTGAGCTCAGGTAGATCTCGATGACCCCCTCCTGTTTATTGTAGCTAAGTGTCAGATATGGATGCTGAAAGGTGTACTCAGAGCTTGGCTAATATATTTTGGATTGTTTAGGGTGCTTGTTTTTGAACCGTGGGAGGAAACCGGAGGACCCGGGGAAAACCCAGGCGAGCTCTGGGTAAAACTCCGCACAGAAATGCCGTCTGGTTTGGAAAGGAATTAAACCAGGGGCATTCTTGCTGTGAGGCAACAGCGCTAATCACTGCCCACCGTGACGCCCGTTTGAACAGAGGGAAAGTAGGGTTGGGTGGGGGGTTTCTTCAAGACGAAGATATTGAGATGAGAAAAGTCTGGGTATTTATACTGAGTTAAGGATCGTCTGATAGGATAATCAGTCATTAGCTAAAGTTGGAACAGCTGTGAACAATCATAAGCACGTGATCCTCTCGACATTTGTTTATTAATAAACTTCACTTAAATACTATAATATATTCAGTCTAATACAGAGATTCCCAAACTATTCAGCCCTCGACCCCTAAAATAACAATGCCAGTGACTTGCGACCCCCAAATTTCTCAGAGGTGTTTCAAAATATTTTAAGTGGACATAGATTAACTTTTTAAATCTAGATTAATCTCACTGTAATCTTGGAGTTAATCTAGATTAAAATGGCTCATTTGAATTCTGCCGAAAACCAGAAAGTTTAACCTGGTGCTATGAAATCTTTATCCTGGGGGTCCAGACTAGGCATGGGACAATAACCGGTTTCAAGGGTTACTACGGTTTGGAAAAGTCAAAGTTTTCAAACCCCCAAAATCTGCTGTTATACCGTTCCCAAGGTATGTGTAAGGTTTTTAATGTGTTGTACAGAAATCTGTGTTTTAGAAACTAATGAAGATAGCAGCATTTATTTATTTTAATTATGTAGCCTGGCATGTTTATTGTTCCACAATGTTATCAATTTTTCCTAAAATAAGTGAAGTTTATTAATAAACAAATGTCGAGAGGATCACGTGCTTATGATTGTTCACAGCTGTTCCAACTTTAGCTAATAACTGATGATCCTATCAGACGACCCTAACTCAGTATAAATAACCAGATTTTTCTCATCTCAATATCTTCGTCTTGAAGAAACCCCCCCA